CGTCCGTGACGCCTTCCTGAGCTTCTTCCGGGACCGCCATGGCCACCGACTCGTGCCGTCCGCGTCCGTGCGGCCCCGCGGCGACCCCAGCTTACTCTTCGTCAACGCCGGCATGAACCAGGTTGGGGCGGGGCTTGTGCTTTTCCGCGAGAGAAAGGCGCTACGGGATTGGGCAAAAGAGGCAAGAGGCGGAGCTCATAGCTCTTGGAACGGAGGGCGGTGGGTGGGCCAGGCGATCGCGGGCGCGAGTTAGGGTTGGGGGAAGACTCGACCTGGGAGCTTGTGGTTTGGGATTGAGTTTAGGCCCAGGAATGGTGGGTGTGGAGTCCCACGGGGGCAGATGGTGGGGGAAGTCTGGCTTCATTTATTCTTTCAATAAAGATAATATTCGTTGCGTGGATGTGGTGTGGAGCACGTGCCCTGTGCTAGAATATGTTCTCCAAGCCCTTGACCTTGAGCGCTGCTTACCCTCCCCAGACTTGTTTGTCCTCATCTGTAAAATGGGTGGGAGGTGGGGGGAGGGGGAGTTGGTTAACTTTAGAGCAGTGGTTCTCAGCCTTCCTAATGCCGCGACCCTTTAATACAGCTCCTCATGTGGTGGTGACCCCCAACCATAAAATTATTTTCGTTGCTACTTCATACCTGTAATGTTGCTACTGTTATGAATTGTCATGTAAATATCTGATATGCAGGATGTATTTTCATTGTTACAAATTGAACATAATTAAAGCATAGTGATTAATCACAAAAACGATATGTAATTATATATGTGTTTTCTGATGGTCTTAGGCGACTCCTGTGAAAGGGTCGTTCGACCCCCAAAGGGGTCGCGACCCACAGGTTGAGAACCGCTGCTTTAGAGGCTATGCCCAGGGCCCTGTGGTCTGTTTTGTACCCTGGAAGCTATTGGCTGTGGTTGACGAAGCTGAGATGGAGGATGCAGCCATTCATTGTCCCATTTCCAGCCACCAACACATTCCTCCTCCTTTTTTCTTGCCTATTTTACTAGCAGAAGATCTGTTTCATGATTTATTTACCCCTTGTCTGCCCTTTCCTCCCCTCCACACACACACATAACACACAAGAGATGGGTACCCCTAGGCTCCCAGGTTGCCCCCCTGGCCGAGACCACACTGCACTTTGGGTGCACAGTCAGCCATCTCTGTCCTCACTCCCCATATTTCTGTTCTCATGAGGGACTTGGCTCTCCCTCTCCCCCTTCTTCACGTGTTCCAGTTCAAGCCAATCTTCCTGGGCACCGTGGACCCACGGAGCGAGATGGCAGGCTTCCGACGTGTGGCCAACAGCCAGAAATGTGTGAGGGCCGGAGGAAGCCACAACGACCTGGAGGACGTGGGCCGAGACCTTTCCCATCACACCTTCTTTGAGATGCTTGGCAACTGGGCATTTGGGGGTGAATATTTTAAGGTGAGTCTCCAGGACGTCCTGGAGTTCGGGAAGGGTCAGCATTCAACCAAGAAGGGGGTGAAGGTTAGTCCTCTCTCCACTCCTGGAGTCTGCTTAGGCAGGGCCTCATGCCAGACACAGAGGCAAAGTGCGGCATGCACATGCGTAAGAGGACTGTGTCTCATTTCTCTAATTGGATTGTAAGCCCCTTGATGGCCAGGACTGTGCCCCCTGCGTGATGGCTGATCAATCGTTGTTGTATGAATAAACAGACAGTAACACTAAAATGCATGAGTTCCAGATCATCCCAGGCTAGTGTGGTTAGAGGATTTCATGGAGAAGGTGAGACTTGAAAGAAAGGAGGATTTGGAAGCTTTCTGGGCAGGAAAAAACTCAACGTTGGTCATGGCTTGTTTTAGAAACAAGGTGGACAGTGGAAATGGTTTTGTCTCAAGCTGAGGGCTGCACTCATGTGGCTGGATTGACGCTCTAGTGGGGCTTTCTTCTCACCCATCTTCCTCTTCCCCGCCCCTGTGGATTTCCACTGCAGGAGGAGGCTTGCAGCATGGCCTGGGAATTCTAGTGGGGCTTTCTTCTCACCCATCTTCCCCCCCCACCCTGTGGGTTTCCACTGCAGGAGGAGGCTTGCAGCATGGCCTGGGAACTGCTCACTCAGGTCTATGGGATCCCTGAGGACAGGCTATGGGTCTCCTACTTTGGTGGTGACCCCAAGGCAGGGCTGGACCCAGACCTGGAGAGCAGGGACATCTGGCTCAGCTTAGGGTAAGTTCACCCTCCCTCATGTCCACTCCTGGGGGGCAGGAGGCCTGGAAAATAGAGACTGTCCGCATAGGCCTTTCGAGTCCCCGCATATCCCAGGAGACCCTGGGGGCAGTCCTGTTCCTCCTCTTGCTGAGCTTGATGGAGAGGCGCTCATGGCAAAGAGGGTCCAGCTTTGGGGTTTATCTGTCTCCCTACCACCCACCTGGCTTTCTTTCCAGGGTCCCTGCCAGCCATGTGCTTTCCTTTGGGCCACAAGAGAACTTCTGGGAGATGGGGGACACTGGCCCTTGTGGGCCCTGTACCGAGATCCACTATGACCTGGCTGGAGGGATGGGTGCCCCCCAGCTGGTGGAGCTTTGGAATCTGGTCTTCATGCAGCACAACAGGTAATGGGGTGCTGAAGCAGGAGGGAAATCCCTGGCTGGAAGTGGAAAAGTGGCAGTCAGGAGACTTTGATCCGTTTCTTATAAAAGCACACACTTAAACGGCACTTACTACGTGCCAGGCACATTTCTAAACACTTTTCAGATAATAACTGATTTAATCCTAGTCTTGGCCCATAACAGTTTAAGCTAGTCACTGCTGCCCTCTGGCCTCTGCTCTCTTATCACATGATAGTGGCACTTGATGATCTCTAAGATTTTCTTCCAGCCTTGACATGCCTCTTTCTAAGGGCAAATAATTCTGTCCCAGAAAGGGGATGTCGGGGTCCAGGCCAGGGCCCAAGGGTCAGGGGGTAGTGGTGAGGGTGAAGGTCACCCTTTATGAGAAGGGACTGGACCCAAGGCCATCATCCCATTATCGTCTGTGTTTATGATGGGGTGGGGGATTATACTGCATCTGGTTCCTCCCTCTCTCAGCCCCCTTAGACCCCTCCTCATTCCTCTATGCCACTTGAGCCTCACATCTGTCTGTAATCCTGTGCGGAGCCTCACCTTGTTCACCTTCCCTGGCCAGAGAGGCAGATGGAAGTCTGCAGCCCCTGCCCCAGCGGCATGTGGACACGGGAATGGGCCTGGAAAGGCTGGTAGCTGTGCTGCAAGGCAGACGCTCCACCTACGACACTGACCTCTTTTCCCCGCTGCTCAACGCTATACACCAGGTGAGCCTGCCTCTTGCCTTCCAGAAGCTTCTGGCCTGCTCGCCAGTGCTTTTGGAATCTGGTCTTCATGCAGCACAAGAGGTAATGGAGTGCGGAAGTAGGAGGAAACCCCTGACTGGAAGTGAAAAGGTGGCAGTCAGGAGACGGGGCAGCTGTACTTCTAGGAGTTGGCTGGCAGTGGGGGTGGCCAGCCGTGTGTCTGTCACCCTGCAGCAGGCCAGCTCAGACTTGTTCACATCACAGCTCAGCAAGGTCCCAAGGAGAGCAGAAGCACACAGGGCTCTTGAGGCCTGAGAAGCAGGAGGAAACCCCTGACTGGAAGTGAAAAGGTGGCAGTCAGGAGACGGGGCAGCTGTACTTCTAGGAGTTGGCTGGCAGTGGGGGTGGCCAGCCGTGTGTCTGTCACCCTGCAGCAGGCCAGCTCAGACTTGTTCACATCACAGCTCAGCAAGGTCCCAAGGAGAGCAGAAGCACACAGGGCTCTTGAGGCCTGGGCTCAGAACAGCGTCCATATTCTCTTGACCAAAGCAAGTCACAGGCTGGCCCAGATTCGAGAGATGGAGAAACAGACTCTCTGTCTTGATGGGAAGCAGCTGTAAAGTCACATTGCAAAGCGGCACGCTCACAGAAAAAGGAAGGATCCTGGCCATTTTTGCAAACAGGCGACCCCGGAGAGGAAAGCTAGGGTCCAATCTCACGGGACCTGGAAGTCCCAGGTAGGGATTTTATTCTGAGTGTAGTGAGCAGGGCTCTAAGGCAGGGGGGGAGCATGCTCTGACACTTAAAAGACCACTCCTGTTTCTATGTGGAGGATGAGCTGGAGGGAGGCAGGAGCAGAAGCTGAGAAACCAATTGGGAGGCGATTTCATAGTCCAGGGAAGGGAGAGTAGGGCATGGCTTAGGCTGGTCATCATGAAAGTGGAGGAAAGTAGATTGATTTGCGAGATCTCATGGAGGGAGAAGCTAAGGCCGCACTGATGGAGTGGGTAGGGAGGGAAAGAAATGGCTGGCTCCCAAGTGTTTGACAAGCAATGAGGTGAACGGCAGGACTGTGTATTGAGGAGGGCAGCTTGGGGAAGACATGGGTCTGGTGCTGCACGAATCTAGCACTCTGCTCTGGAGCACATGTCCACACAGCTCCCACCGTCCCGCCTGCCCCCTAAAGCCCGTGGAGGCAGGTGTGGGCCATGGAGAGCACCTGTGGTCAGACAGGCCTGGCTCAAAGCTCAGGGCTGCTCCTGGGCATTTGTGTGGCGCTTAGGTCCTCTGGGCCTCTGTTTCCTCTGACATCGAGGATAGTAATACCTCCCAGAACAGGGTGTTTGGGTAGAAATTCAGTAAATGATCACACCTGTGGTATGGTTAGTGTGAATGTGGGCCCCGTGAGGCCAGTGTCTGAGTCCCGTTCATCTTTGAAGCTTCTTCATCCTGGCTATTCCAGATGTAGTCCACTTTAGGGGTTTGAAGAGCATCCCACCTGGGCCAGGTCGGGCAGGGCAGCAGCCATGCCTCCTCTCCTGCTTTCCAGGGTTGCGGGGCCCCCCCTTACTCGGGCCGGGTAGGGGCGGCAGACGAGGGCCGCATAGATATGGCGTACCGCGTGGTGGCTGATCACATTCGCACACTCAGTGTCTGCATCGCCGATGGCGTCTCCCCCGGAATGTCGGGCGCCCCGTGAGTCTGGAAGGACTGCAGAGAGGGGCAGGTGCAGCTGGGGCTTGCAGGGGAGGGAGGGAACAGAGGTGGGTCAGGTTGAGATGGCAGGAGGAGCCGGAGAAGGGTTTTGGGGTGGGAGCACACGCTGGGCCTGGCCCTCCCCAATCTCCAAACCACTGACCAGCGGCTGTGGGGGTTCACATCTGGCTTTGAACCCTCTAGGCTGGTTCTTCGTCGGATCCTCCGTCGAGCCGTGCGGTTCTCTACGGAGGTCTTGCGGGCACCACCTGGCTTCCTGGGCAGCCTGGTACCGGTAGTGGTGGAGACACTGGTAAGGACACAGCTTCCTCACTCCTCTGGGCCTCCCAGGCACTCGGGGAGCCTGCCGCCCCAGCATCCTGTCAGCAGCTGAGAAAGCTGCCGTTGCTTACAAAAGCAGGGAGCCTTCAGGCTGCTGAACCTTTGGCCGTGGGACTCCCTCTGCCTGTGTCCCCACCCCACAGGGAAACGGACTCCCCGTGTGGGTCCCTCCCCAGTCCATCAGCCTGTCTGAGCCTCTGGAACAGGTGTCCTCAGGGAGGCCCAGGGGCGGAGGGGGAGGGTGTCTGGTTGCCTTTCCCTCTCACACTTCCTCAGCCCTGTTACCTCCTCCAGGGAGACACTTACCCAGAGCTGCAGAAGAACTCGGCCCAGGTACTGGACTCAGGTGGGGGAGGGCTGGGCTGACCAGAGAGTGGTAGAGAGGCTCTCCCTCCATCTCTGTCATGCCCGCCGTTCAGATAGCCAACCTGGTGTCGGAGGACGAGGCAGCCTTCCTGGCCTCCCTGCAGCGGGGTCGGCGGATCATCGATCGGACCCTGCGGCGCCTGGGACCTTCTGATGTGTTCCCTGGTGAGTGGGGTGCCTCGCCAAGGCGTGAGCCGGGGCAGGCGAGGAGGGAGCTCTGGGCCAGGCCTGTGCCTCGCATCTTCCCCTCCTCCTCCCATGTCCCCCAGCCTGTGCTCCTCCAACACCCAGACTTCTCTGTGGTGGGAGCACCACCCTGCTTCTCCTCTTTTCTCCATTTCCTCACTGCCCCTGCTCCTGCCTCAGTCTCTGCCTCCCTCCTCCTCTGACATGGTTGCCAAGGGAACCCAGCTCTGGCCTTGGAGCCCGAAGCCTGAAGGTGACCCGTGTCCTGGGCCAACCCAGTGTGAGGAGAGGGTACTTGTGCTTGGCACCTGGTGTGATTGGAAAAGCCCTGGCCCTTCTCCCTCACTTCTCCCCCTCCGTCTATCCTGCCCCTCCCCGCTCAAAACCCCGTCTTCCTTCCAAAAAGCCGATGTGGCCTGGTCCTTGTCAATGTCTGGTGACCTGGGGCTCCCACTGGACCTGGTAGAGCTGATGCTGGAGGAGAAAGGGGTGCAGCTGGACTCTGCTGGGCTGGCGCGGCTGGCCGAGGAGGAGGCCCAGGTACGGGCTGGGGCACCCCCACCAGGGTTCTGTTGGGACAGTCAGCCATTCCCCAGCCCGGAGTCCCTGGGGAGGGCTGCAGCTATTGAAGGAAGAGGAGGCTGAGCTAGGCACTGTCCTTCACCTCGGGCCCCTCCCCAGCCCCTGGAAAGGCACACTAGTGCAGTGGGCTGAACAAGAGCGGGGGAAAGGGGAAGGAGGCGGGGGAAGGCCAGCACATGTCCTGGGAGGCGCCTACAGGGGCAGAATTCGGTGAGGGAGGCCTGATCCTTAGACCCCGCAGGATGGGTGGTTCACCAGCCAACCCAGGGTCTCCAGCACCAGCCAAGCCCTGAGCACTTATTCCAGAGGGGGCCGCAGGGTGCACAGAGCCGATGGCAGGGACAGGGCTCTTCGGAGGCTCAAGTCCCATTGCACTCTCCATGCAGCCCTTCTATCCATACACATACCCATGCCTGTCCTGCAGCACCGGGCCCGGCAGGCTGAGCCAGCTGAGGAGCAGGGACTGCGGCTCAACATCCATGCGCTGGGGGAGCTGCAGCGCCGAGGGCTGCCCCCAACTGATGACAGCCCCAAGTACAACTACTGCCTTCGACCCAGTGGGGGTTATGGTGAGAGCCTGGGCCGAGCGGTGGCCATAGGCTTGCCTGACCTTGATTGGGAGGGACAGGCAGATGGTTGCCCTGTGCATTCCCCAGGGACCACCAGGGGTCGCTGTGTCCCTGACCAGGGCTTGGACCCTATCCCCCATTTCCAACCCCTCTCCTCCAGCTAGGTGCCTGTTGGCTTCAAGTGAGGCACAGACCCACCTGTATGTCTCAAACCCCTGCCTAGCTCTGATAACCACTTTTTGCCCTGGCAGAGTTTGGCACCTGCGAGGCCCAGGTGCTCCAGCTGTATACAGAGGACGGAACAGCCGTGGCCTCCGTGGGGGAAGGCCAGCGCTGTGGCATCCTCTTAGACAGAACCAACTTCTACGCTGAACAGGGGGGTCAGGCTTCAGACCGAGGTTACCTGGTGCGGGTGGGGCAGCAGGTGAGCTCCCCCCGCCCCCGCCCCTCCCACCACCACCACATACACACACACAGGATAACTTCTGCAGGAGGCAGACCTGAGCCAGAAAGGGAGCCAAGGGGGTGTTGGGGGGGGGGGGGGACTCCAGGCAGTCACTATAGCCCCTTGGCCTCTGACCTTCCCCAGGATGTGCTGTTCCCGGTTGCCCGGGCCCAGGTCTGCGGAGGCTTCATCCTGCATGAGGCTGTGGCCCCTGAGTGCCTGAAGGTGGGGGATGCGGTGCAGCTGCACGTGGATAAGGTAAGGACCCCACCCCTGCTGCTCTTGATATCCTGCAGCTCCTTTACTCTCCACCCCCCACTCTCACCCAGACGCCGGGTGACAAAAGTGTTTCAGTCCTGGCGTCTAGGCTGCATGGAGAAGCACACGGCCATCCACCTGCTAAACTGGGCGCTGCGGCAGGCCCTGGGCCCTGGCACAGAGCAGCGAGGCTCCCATCTCAGTCCCGAGCGGCTGCGCTTTGACGTGGCCACCCAGGTGAGCAGGGCACAGAGAGACAGGCTTCAAGTGAGGTGACAGGCTCAGAGTGAGAAAGGCTGGTGGGGTGGGGAGTCTGGCCAGTCCGAGGGCCTGGTCTCCCTGTCATTCAGTCACTATAGGAACCTGAGTGGGTGTCATCCCATCAGGCTCCTCCAGCACACAGGGGATGTGGAGTCCTCCCTTTACCCCAGCCACCCATCTCCCTGTTCCTGCTGTCACCCAAGCCATGCTTGCACAGGCGCTGCTCTCTCCCTTCTCTGCCACCTGTTCCCTCCTCTCCTTGTATATCTGGCTCAATACTCCCTCCAGGAAGCAGGCACTGACTAAATCCTATTCCACTGACTACTCCTTGCTCCTGCATCTCCCCCATCCTATACTTCTTTTCAACTAGGTTGCCTCTTGTCACAAGCTCCCTGAGTACAGAGCCTCCATTTTCTGTTTTAATCCTCACTTGATGATATGTTTATTGATTTTAGAGAGAGGAAAGGGGAGAGAGAGAGAAATAAACATCAATGTGAGAAACATCGATCATTTGCCTCCCCTATGTGCCCCAACCTGGGATGGAACCCGAAACATAGGTATGTGCCCTGACCAGGAATCGAACCCGCTGACTTTGTGGTGTACGGGATGATGCTCCAACGAACTAGCCATCTAGCTGGGGCTCCATCAACTTTTAATGCCTAATGAAAGGCCTGCAGCTTTCAATAGGCCCGACTCCCAGGTAGCTTTCTAAGGACAAGAATTGTTTGCTCCACAAGTGTTTATTGAGCACCTACTAGGTGCTAGCCACTGTTCTAGAGCGTAGGGTAGTTCAATGGACAGTGAAGGCTGCTTCATGCATCAGTTGCAGGCATGGGGCTGACTGCCTGTCGGTCTGTCCGTTTCCCTCCCACCCCACCAGGCCCCGCTGACCCCAGAGCAGCTCCAGGCAGTGGAGAGCACTGTGCAGGAGGCTGTGCGGCAGGACGAGGCCGTGTACATGGAGGAGGTAGCCCTGGCACACACTGCCCATGTCCCTGGCCTGCGCTGCCTGGATGAGGTGAGTTGGGGGAGCTCCCTTGGTGGAGATCACCTTCTCCCGCCACCCCTCCCCCCACAGGCCAGTTAGCAGACCTGTCCCCTCCCACCCACAGGTGTACCCAGACCCAGTGCGGGTGGTGTCAGTGGGGGTGCCCGTGGCCCCGGCACTGGACCCAGCTTCTCAGGCTGCACTGCAGACTTCTGTGGAGCTGTGCTGTGGGACGTGAGTCACCCTGCCTGCCTGCCCTGGCCTGGAGCTGGGTCCTCACCCTTGGTCTTCGGAGCTGCCAACTCCTGGTTTGGAGCTCAGGCTGCTCTTCTCTTCCATAATCCCCCCTGACTTCTTCCTCCCTCCCTCTGCCCACAGGCACTTGCTGCGCACAGGGGCTGTAGGAGACCTGGTCATCGTTGGGGAGCGCCAGCTCACCAAGGGCACCACCCGCCTGCTGGCCATCACTGGGGAGCAGGCCCAGCAGGTCGGGCACGCCAGCAGGGCCCAGAAGGCGGCTGAGTGTGCATGGGGCAGGGGACACGCAGCTGATGCGCTCAGGCTGGGGGATGCCCAGCAGCAGAACCAGTGCTCCTACATGTGCACTGCTGACAGCTGGCAGCTGGCGTGATCATTTGGTGCCTTGATTGGTCCTGATGGTTAAATATTTCTAATTTGGCCTTGAGCAGCAATAGGTTGAGAGCTTTGAAAGTAAGCCAACAGCCCTGACCATCCTGTTCCCTCCCTGCAGGCCCGAGAAGTGGGCCAGAGCCTGGCCCAGGAGGTGGAAGCAGCCACAGAGCGGCTGAGTCGGGGCAGCCGGGACGTGGTGGAGGCCCAGCAGCTGTCCAAGGACATGGGACGACTCACCGATGTGAGGGTCATGCCCACCATGGAGCTGCCCACATGCCCATGCACACCCCATCCCTACCCGTGTCCTTGCCCTATGCCCTTCCCCATGCCTCTCTGGACCCTTCCAGCCTCTCCCCAGCATTCCCAGGGAATGCCTGGATGATTTTCTGCAGGGTGGAGTCGAGGGGGCGGGGGGTGGTCTCTTCCCTGGCCCTGCTGGTCCCAGCCTCAGAGGCTGTGGCTCAGGGAGGGGTGAGGATGATGTCCTGCTTCTGGCTGTAGGCTGTGGACACCGCTGTGATGCCCCAGTGGCAGCGGCGGGAGCTGCAGGCCACACTGAAGGTGCTGCAGCGGCGCGCCAACACTGCGATCCGGAAGCTGGAAATAAGGCAGGTAGGAGGGGGTTTGGCTGCACCCATCAGGGCGGATTCCAGGCACACCCAACAGGGGCCAGAGACACTAGTATGAACTGGCACGGGGGTGGTGTCAGCTCCCTCTCCTGCCAGCTGGGCACCGTTACCAGACCCCTACTTCTCTGCCAAGCCAGGTCTCCCCAGCTCCCAAGCCTGGCTCAGGCTCTCCCTCCGGGAAGCTGACTGGCGGCTCCATTCAGCCCTGATTACTCCTTGACTGCATTCCCCTTCCCCCTGCCCCCTCTCCATCTGTACTCCAGCCTTAGTCCTCTCACCTTCAGCGACCTATTTGTCGGGGCCTGGAGCTCAGATGAAAGGGAGGAGGTGAGGGAGGAGAGGAAGGACACAGGTGGGACCCAAAAGGAGGCCATTCCAGGCAGAACCCCTGGCCCCTCTGTTCAAAGCTAAAGCCTTTGCTGGGGGAAGAGGGCGGGGGGAAGGGAAGGGACTTCTGGACGGGGGTTCAGTTCAGAAAGAGCCAGTTGCCTTCCAGCCTGACCTGTGCTGTCCCTCCCGCCTCCCAGGCTGCCCAGAAAGCACAGGAGCTGCTGCAGCGGCACCCAGAGGGGTCCCTGATCGTGGACACTGTTTCCACTGAGTCCCTCTCAGTGAGTATTGGGGTTGGGGGTGTCCTGACAGGGAGGTAGCTGGGAGTCTGGGGCTACGGGTCACCACCTGCCCTCCCTTGTCCAGGTGCTGGTGAAGGTGGTCCGGCAGCTGTGTGAGCAGGTGCCCAGCACGTCCGTGCTACTACTCAGCCCCCAGCCCCTGGGGCATGTGCTGTGTGCCTGCCAGGTGGCCCAGGTGAGCCAAGTGGGAGAGCAGCCCCCACCCGCCCATCTCCTGGTCCAGCCGCTGATTCCCCTCCTTTTGTTCCTCTCAGACCAGGGAGCCAGGGCTGGGTAGAGGTGCTCTATGAGGACACCCCAAGACATAGATACGGCCATCTTCTTGTCCCTAATGACCACACATCCCCACTAGAGAGGGTACCACCTCACTCCTCCTCCACACACATTCCCAACCCAACCCTCGCCTGTCTTCACCCCATTCCCCCCATGAGACTGTCTGGGGAGGCGGAGCTAATCGCTGTGACTCACTCTCAAGGGTACATTGAGTGATGGTGGCAGGGAGGGCCCCTCGGCATTGCTGCCCCTTCTGTTTCCGTCCCCAGAGTGCCACGCCAGCTTTCACAGCAGAGGCCTGGGCACTGGCTGTGTGCAGCCACATGGGAGGCAAGGCCTGGGGCTCCCGAGTGGTGGCCCAGGGCACCGGAAGCACTGCTGACCTGGAAGCTGCGCTCAGAACAGCCCGAGCCTATGCCCTCAACCAGCTCTGAGCCAGGGACTCACACAGACTAGAGACAGCTACATGTAGCAAGAGTCGGATGAAACTTCCTGAGGAGCCCGGAAGGAACCAGCAGAACCTCCCTGGAGGCTGAGGGGAGGGCTGGAGACTGGAGGCTCAGCAGCTGAGCTGAGAGGGCCACCCTGGGCTGGGTCCTCCCTGGACACAGGAAATGTGGGCTGGCGAAGGCAGAAGTGAACCCAGAGACACCAAACTAGGTGAATGCGGAAACACGGGCTGCCCTGGCTGTGACTGCTCATTAAAAAGTATTTCCCAGCCCTCCCAGCGTGGCTCAGGGGTTGAATTTCAACCTATGAACCAAGAGGGCACAGTTTGATTCCTGGTCAGGGCACATGCCCAGGTTACAGGCTCTGTCCCCCGGATGGAACGTGCAGGAGGCAGCCGATCAATGATTCTCTTCCATTGATGTTTCTCTCTCTCCCACTCCCTTCTTCCCTAAAATCAATAAAAATATATTTTTTACTCCCTTCTTCCCTAAAATCAATAAAAAATATATATTTTTTAAAAAGTATTTCCCAGAGGAGAGGAAGTTCCAGAAGGTTCTTTTGCTTAAAAAAGAATAGACTTTCCACTCCCAGCAACCTGATATGGGTGCCCCATCCCCAGTCTGACTCCTCATACAGGGCTGAAAGGCCACCCAGCATCCATATCGGAACCATCCTTCTCGCCACCGTGCTGGGTCAGGCTAGGCCAGCCTGTCCTGGGCACCCAGAAAGGCCTCCCTGGCCACCAGGATCCAGAACCGTCATGTGGAAGTCACTATGGCAGGGCAGTCCTCTCTGGTGTCATTTAGTTCTTTAACAATAACTTGTCGATGGCCCTGGTGATTTGTTGATAAAATGAGTAACAGGTACTGGTCAGTTGCTGAGAATGTGAGAACCAAACAGACAAAACTTCCCGTCCTTGCAGAGCTTACTCCTATTGGGAAACGACGGGCAATAAAGAGAAAGAGGGTGTCAGCGGTGGTGAGGTCTGAAGGAGTGGGCTGGGAGCAGGATGGTGGGTGGTGTTTCCTCACTGAGGTGCATCTGAGGGAAGAGCTGTCCGGGCTGTTCACTCAGTCCATGCAGAGTCCCTGTGGGGAGGGAGGGGGGCGGCAAGCTGGAAGAGTGGCAGGTGATGGGGTCAAAAGAGTGGGGACCAGAGTGACCCTCTAAGCTACACAGCATCTCCCTCATACCTGAGCTGAAGCTTAAATTGGCAGCTCCGAGCAGGAGGAAGCCAAGGGGTACAAGGCAGCCCTCTCCCCACCAGAATGACTCTGTCCAGGACCAAGTCACATACTGGACCTCAGGGAACCCATCTTCAAGTCAAGGGCTCCCTGACTACCAAGTTCTGGGGCTGTTTAAAATTATTAGAGCAGAGAGGGGCCGCTAGCATCTTTTCTTGCACGATCTCCCCTTTTGCAGCACCGGTGACTTAACTGATGTGGGCTTGAAAGGAACCTGAATCCCTGCTGCCTGGCCCCGACCGCTTGCTCAACTCTGGGGTTGCAAAGCTTTCCCTCAAAATCTTGGCAACTGTAGCAGTTAGGAGTGGTGCTCGGGAAGGCCCAGCTTTTTACACGTGGATGCCAGGGTGAGGCGTGGTACCCACTTTATTGATGTGTTAACCAAGTTTCTAAGTTAAACTTATCCAGGGTAACCAACTAGTACAGTTGACCCTTGAACAAACAACATGGGGGATGGGGTGCCAACCACCCATGTAGTCGAAAATCCATGCATAACTTAGGTCTGCATGTGCAGGTTCCCAGCCACACATCAAAAGGACATAATCAGCTCTCGCCGGTTTGGCTCAGTGGATAGAGCGTCGGCCAGTGGACTGAAGGGTCTCGGGTTCGATTCCGGTCAAGGGCACGTACCTCAGTTGCAGGCTTGATCCCCAGCCCCAGTTAGGGGAGGCAACCCATCAATGTGTGTCTCTCACATCGATGTTTCTCTGTCTCCGAGGCCTCCCTTCCACTTTCTCTAAAATCAATGTTGTTAATCCTTATCTTCGGGTAAGGATTAACAACAAAAAGACATAATTAACCTGGTCCATGTGGCTCAGCGTGCCTGCGTGGACCCATGAACCAGGAGGTCACGATTGTTCAGGCACGTGCCTGGGTTGTGGGCTTGATCCCCAATAGGGGGGTGCAGGAGGCAATTGAGCAATGATTCTCATCATGGATGTTTCTATTCCTCTCTCCCTCTCTGAAATCAAATAATAATAATAAAAAAGGACATGAAATTAAAGCAGAGCTCCACCTCCCTGTGAAACTTCCCACCACCCTGGTTGCCTCTCCTGTCCTGAAGGACAATGTCTTTTTCTTTCTAGCCACCCCCCTGGAGTTAGTCACCCATGCCCCTCAGGACACCACATCCTGGGGGGGGAGGGGGGGCGGGGGAGTCAGGCTTAGAGCTGTGTGAGGGGTGCTGTGGCGGCTGGAACCTTCCTGCCTGGTGCCAGACATCAGCCTGTTCCCTCTTAGAGAAGGTGGAAGGGGCCACTCTGCAGGGTGCTGCAGCCCACAGCTCTGCGGGTGCCCTTCACCCTCCTCATCTTCCAGAAGGTTCTGACTGCTGATGCTTCTCCTGCCTAACTCCCGCCACCCCCACCCCATTTCTACACAAAAGGTACCAAAAACGAAGGGCACTGCGGTCCAGGAGCCCTGCCCGGGGCTCCCACTCCTCACCTTCCCCCACAAAAGCCCACCCGCTCCTAAACATGTCCCCCAGAAGCACAGAGCATGCCGCAGGGCCACAGTTCCCTCTGCCTGCACAGTGGCCGCACACTGCGCGTTAGCCAGAAACCTCCTTGCGTCAACCCAGTGCCTCGGCGCATAATGACAACCAGCAAAAGGCAGCCCTGCGCGCCAGCCAGGCGCCGGGTGGAGACTGCGCGCGCGGGGGACACGCACGTGTGCACACCGGCCCTGGACCCGCCCCCTGGAAACGTGCTGCGTCCCTAACGACCGGCTCAGACAGCGCGGGAGCCTGCGGGAACGGCGAGTGCCTGGGGACCAGGAGTCGGTGAGGCGACCTCCGGGAGAGAGGACCCTCCTGGGCTCCCACATTTCGCGTGGCAGGGGAGGGCCGGTCTGTAACTACAGGAGACCTCCTACCCCCACCCATTTGAGGTGGGACCCGTGCCCCCTCCCCCACCACAGTCTCCGTCTGCAAGCTGGCCCAGAGGCTTAGGGTTTGCAAGTAAAGGGAGGGGGGTACCATGAAAAGGAGGAAGGGGAAAGTGGGGCATCGGGTAGGGCGCGGAGGAGAGCCGGCATAAGGAT